TGGAGAATTTTTAGACTTCACACATCGTGGGAGCTGAGCGAAGCTCGCCGATACTTCTCGGCGATGGGCGTTCCGCGAGTTTCCCGACGACTTCCGCGATTAATCGCGACGCGCCTCGCAGCTCAAGTTTCGACTTACTCTCCCTGCACGCTGGTGGCATCGGCCTCTACGCCGCGATTCCAATGGGAACGCAAACGGACAACCGTTCTCCGTTCTGATTCCTCTCCTAACACCCGTCGCGTTGACATTGAACGCGAAGGTGTGCGCGTACTTGAGAAAAAGAGAGGAGACAGTCTCTCTCGCTCTGTCCCCGTATTTCCATCGGACACTCGCGTGACTACCGGCGACGACACGTAGCATTTTGGCTGGTACGCGGCATCGGGTGAGAGAGAGGCGACGAGGGACAGAGAGGAGCGATGTTAGAGATAGCGGGAGAAAGAGAGAGAAAAAGATAACGAAATAGAGAGAGAGAGAGAGAGAGCCAAGAAGTCAGTCAGCTGATGTCACGCAGATGGGCTGGTGAGCTACGTCGTGCTAAAAGCGGCTGTGATGCCCTCCTTTATTTCTCTCCCACCACCTCCTTCTCCTCTTCCACAACCTCCTCCGTTGCCCCCTCTCACTCCTCTTTCTCCTCCATTCCCTCTGTTTTTCTATCTGCGCGTCTATCCGCTCTGTGCGTCTTCTATGTGCTTCTCTCTCTCACGCGGACTTCTCTCTTCTATCCGCAGAAGAGGCGATAGAGGAAGATGACCACGATGATGAAGAAGAACGTACGAGCATACCGCGAATCGCCTGACGCATTCTCTCTCTCTCTCTCTCTGTTTCTTTGTCTCTCTCTTTTCCGATCTCCTGAGAAAATTGCGGCAAGATGATGTGAGAGACGCGTGCGGGAGAACTGGGCAGCAGCTCGGCCGTGGAAAAATCTCGTTGTCTCTATTAGCGTGAACAATTTTCGTTCGACGAATCGGGGGGTCTAATTGATCTCTCTCAGCGGCACGCGACGCTTTACATGAGAAACGCGTTCGTGGCATTTGTAGGATGAGAGGACGGTGAGAGGAATGGGTAGGCATGAGGAATCCGTGCTCGCGATATTGTCACGCGTGTCTTCCCCCCGTTGATCGCGAACAGCTCGCCCATTCAGAGGTTAATAATCGGTTTCTGCCCGAGATCGCGGCGGCGATTGCCTGAAGAAGAAGCGCACTTTGACGCACAGTCGCGAATTGATATAAACTCGGGCTTTATCACGGAGAGATTCATCTGCAGCGGTTTTGAAAGCGAGCCTGGTCCCTCGGTAGAGATCGCCCGCCTCGGCCTCTTTCGTGTTCCCAGACGGAAATGTGTATCTCTCGTGCGAAGTAGGTGAAGATGTTTCAAGTAGGTGAGGATANCCCCCCCCCCCCAGATATTCTTATCCTGCTCCCGATAAAAGAAATCTCGCGAATATTTTACTCCTGAGGAGATATTCCACTAAAGAGAAATACATGTTATCGCGAATATATTACGCTATGTTGGGGACGAAATTATCCGTCATGTTGCAATTTTGTATATTAAAAAAATATTCTTGTAAATATTTTTATCCCATCCACCTTTAAGAAGAGGAAAAATATTCGTTATCACGTTGTGTGATATTATTTGTTAACAAATATTTTCGCAAATACTTTTATCTACTACATTCTCTAACAAGAGAAAAAAAATATCTGCGCAAATATTTTCTTTTTATCTTTCTTCTGATGTGAGAATAAGATACAGGATGTCCCGGTTCTCGCGACTTTTAATCTTACCGAGAACCTTCTCTGAACAATTTCAAGTTAATTTTTCTCAACGGAAGTATCGAGACACCATTAATTTCCGAGAGATATAAGCGATTGAAAAAGTGGAACTTTTTGCGAACTACCAAATGGACATAATATTATATATAAAAAATATCCCCGCGAATACTTTCATTCTGTCTACTTTTAGGGAGAGAAAAGTATCTGCTGAAATATTTTTATTCTTCTGAGAAAAAGATATTCCCATGAATGTATTACGCGTTGTTGAAGAAGATATTATCCGTCATGTCGGAGAGACAATACTTTTGTTCCCTCAAAAACTTCACATCGCGTGCCTTCTGTCGTTTCTTTTCTTTTTTCTTTCGTTCAAGTTTAAAATCGCAGCGTCGCACTTAGCGTGACGTTGAAAAGCGATGCGGCTCGTTATGATGACGATGGCCATCACTATAGCGGCGGCGGCGGAGTCGATGTCGCGGATCATCGGCATGGGAAGACGACGAAGAGCCGAAGAGGTCAGGCATGCGAGAAAGTGGGGCAGACGCGGAACGTTGACCTTTACGTGCGGCGGATATACGCGTTGTAAAGAACACGAGACACCGGGGTACGCTCGATGGGAGCCGAACGTGCCGCCGCGTGGCGCTCCTTTGTCGCAGTACCCTCGGCGTACCGCAGTAGAATAGGATAAACAGGTTCACCTTTAGAAATACCGTGGATGGATTGTCCCTCGGGTGCCGGGGATATTCAAACAACCTGTGCCATCCTGCTCACTTTGCGTTCATTCCAAAGCCGGCCTACGTCAGAGCAAGAATTCAACCGGGACTGAATATAATCGAGATACAATCGTGAAGGGAGAAATTAATTATTTGATATCGGAGGGAATTTAAATCCCAGTTTGAATTCAATTTTCGGGTCTTTTGAGTTTCATAGAAAATCTCAACTCGCTTAAATTTGAAGAGAAAGATTGACAGAACCTTTAAACAAAAGCTGGGATTTTTACAAAATTAAATTTTAAAGCTTAAAATTAAATTAAAAATAATAAAAAATTAAAATTAGATTTCACGAATTAAATTTAATTTAAAACTAGAATTTAAATTTTCCCCGAAATTTCTCTAAAAACAAACGAGAGTTCAATTTAAAGAATTCTTAACGAGGATCCGAATTCCTTCATTGTAATTTTTTTTATTGCATATCATTTCCTCCCCCCGTGTTTGAAACTTCATTCGGTCGGTCCGCAGCTTTCGAGCGAACTGTTGACCGTGAAGACGGTGTCAGAGTTCGAATAAAAAATAAAAGCATACACCCGTCGCACCGTTGTTCGTCCTCCATCTTCACTCCGCGGAGAGATATTTCAGTTCTACCTGTGCGCGCAGCGCAACATGGATTGTTCGATTTCTTCCGATCGCGACACAAGGAGCACGTTGCGCGCCACGCCCAACCGTTAGATTTACACAGCTCCGTTATTAGCGTTGCGTTTAACGCACGGATAAGTCTCGTGCGTGCGTGAGTGCGTGCGTGCGTGCGTGAGTGCGTGCGTGCGTGCGTAAGTGCATGAGTGCATGCATAGGTATGCAAAGGATATGAAGCGCGTCTAGCTTACGTGGTCTCGCCGTGGTCGTGCAGAGCCGCGCTCGTCACAAAGACCAGACCAGCAGTCGCACACGAGACGACGTATTATCGAATGAAGGATGCACGCGGTTCCATTTCGCTCGTGCTTGGTCTCGTTTTCCTCGTTAGTTTAACAGTCGAATTACCGTAACGTCCAACATTCCCCGGCAAATGCTGTAATCTCGCCACTGCTATCCGAGCATGTGCGTAATTATAACCGTTAACGTAACAGTCCGTTACGTTAACGTAACGTGATAAATCTGCCGCTCTTGCAGCGGAGGCCACCTTGTATAAGCTGTCGATCCCTGACCTGTTGTGATTGCCGGATACCATTGTAGCGCGCGCATGCAGTGTGGAGCAATCTTTGAACGACTTGAAAAATTCCTTCACTCGTCGAGTGAAACTTCTTTCTCACACGGGAAAGCAATTCCGTCGGTGCGACTGAATTTCTCGTTCTTCCCTGGGGACCAGATGAAAATTCGGCTGGGTGGGGACAGAGAGAAAGAGAGAGAGTGTCTCGTAAGGGGTTTCTACTTGGCCAATTGCTCTCGGTTGTCTCAATCGAGTTTTAATGCAGCTGGTATGTTCACACGAATGTTCTCGATCGAAGTAACAGAGACGTTTCTTGTTACCGAGTTTTCGTCTGGTCGCTATATTCAGTCGCAGGAACCGAGTTTTTTCTTGGGGGGAAACAGAAGATGAGTCGGCCGATGAGAGTAAAAGAAATCTACTTTGTATTGAATTTTTATATATTCGACGAATCTTTGTATATTTCACATGAATAATAATTTTAAGAATTTTAATTTCAATTTTAAATACATAAAAGAAAAAAATAGTTATTCAAGAATAATTTTCATAAACTGAGAGGAAAAAATATTGAATAAAAAGGATAATATCTTCAAACTAATACAATTCTTAGTTGGGAGATGTCGTTTTTTCTATCCAAAATCTCTCCGAGTTCATGAGAAAATTGTTCTTGAATAACAAGAATATATTTTTCTTTCTGTAAACAAGTTTTTATCTTCTTATAAGATTTATATATTCTTGTTTATATATCGAAATACGAGTCTTGAATTGATACTAATTTTTTTTTTTCTGAGCATTAATAATAATCGTATAACTTTAAGATCGCGTTAAATTTCATGATACTTCTGAGAGGATGGAAAGAACATATCCAGTCGGCCGTCACTTTTTCGGTCCCACGCGAATTCCCGAGGAGTCCAAGGAGGAGAGATCATTCTCGACCTTCGCGCATAACCAAGTCGATCGCTCGTTTACTCTAAATAGTCATCCGCTGATTCACGCTCGAACACGCCGATCGGCCTTTTCTTACTGTTCTTCGTGGCGGAGGTTCTCGGGAGAGAGAGAGAGAGAGAGGGGGGGAAAGAGATTTGTTGTTCAATAATCTTCTCTCGAATCCCAACGAATTCCACGGCGGCGAATGTCGCGTATGTGCGAACGAGCGCGCGCCCGCGCATAATCGGATCGTTCGTTACGTGATTACTCGGTCGTGCCGATTAATCACTCGCTGATTCACGCTCGCTCGCTCGCGCACACTTCGATCGTTCTCCAGCCCCTCATCGACGCTCCGATTCTCATTTAATCCGTTTCTAATTCGATTTGCAGAGATCGCGAAGGTGCGGGCGAGCCTTTTTCAAATCAGTGGAGTGAAGAAGGAGCCGCTGGTGTTGCCGGACCCCGAAGGCGACATCACGACGCTCACGGAGAAGGTCTACGTACCCGTTAAGGAACACCCAGACGTAAGTGTACCACGAGAAACGAAAGACGGATGGAAAGAGAAACAAAGAGACCGGCAGAGTGAGAGAGAGAGAGAGAGAGAGAGAGAGAGATCTCGTTGCGCGAACGGCCGCGCAAACTTGGCGCGCCTCCCGGATTATTTCGACGTGCGTGATTCAAGGACTCAGGATGAAAACACCGCGCGCGCACGAGCTGACCAATCCGTAGGAAACTTGAAGCGAGATAGCTACAGAGCTTCGTGGAATGCTCAATGCGATCCCCGATTTTATGAAACATAAATTAGTCAGGCGGCGCGCTCGCGCGTATTACAAATCCGTTTCTCTCTCTCTCTCTCTCTCTCTCTCTCTCTCTCTCTCTCTCTCTCTCTCTCTCTTGGCATCTCGGCGATTTGGCTTTTCATGAATAATAATCGTCACTCATTAACAGAAAAAGACGTACCTCTTGATTACGTAATCATAGGAGAAGTCAAGTAGAAATAAGATTCGTTTTATTTCTATTTTTCCTAAAAAAAAATTTTCTCTCTCTGTCTCTCTTTCAGAGAATGCCTTTTCCTTGCCTTTTCTTTTCTTCGCAAAAGGTTCGTTACATCAGAGCGATTTTTGCGACGATCGATCCCGTGCTGTGATTTATTCCGAGCCGCGAGGGCGAGTATCGTTCGCCGATCTCGGGGGAAGAAATCGAGCGACGCGCTGCTGTTGTGCACCATCGAACGCACGCGCTCTCACAGCGCCGAATGTTATTTCTGTAACGCCCGAAATAGAATTCTCGCAGCCGAAAGAACGGGACTCCCTTTCCTGCTCGCCTCCTCCATTTCTCCGTCCGCCTCGGGCGGGCCTCCACTCCGTGCGGCAGCTCATTGAGACGTAATAACGAGGTCGTAAGCTTATTAACCCTTCCTCGCGAATACTTGCGGGCGTCTCGATTTCTCGAAACGATATATCTCGCCTTGGTCCCCGATTCATTTCGAAGCGAACGCACACCAAAGGTATGCCAAGGCACGACGACGAGGCGAAGAGACGTGGCCTCAGTCTCCTGAAAGGCCGATTTCAGGATGACGAGATCATGATGCTTTTTCTCTAAGAGCGAAATGAGAAGTACAAAGTTTTTACGTGAACTCGACAACTTGAGCGATCATACAGCTCTTTTTTTTTTTTTAAGCGAGAACGTGAAAGGTTCTCAAATTAACTCGACGACTCGAGCGGATCAAGTCACTTCATGAACCGTACGGAATTTTTGAAAGTGTGGAATTTTTTCACATTTCTGCTTTTAGGAAAAAAAAACAGTTACATTATCGCCGCCCGTCTGTACGCAAACAGAGATTTCTCCGCGCGAAATCTCGTATCAAAAGTGTCATTTCGAGTGTCGCTACTCGAGAAGCAAATTCTTTTCGCGCGAGAAATTTGTCTTCAAATAGAAGATACGACCGTGTCACCGTTCATCACGATAAGAACGCGAAAGACGGCGTGCGCCACCGACGAGCAGCAGCCTTACGGAAGCTCTCGATGCCGGCGCGCGCGCGCAAGAGAGAGAGAGAGAGATACGACGAGCCCGTGGCCGATAACACGACGATCGTTATCAATTTTACCACTTTTTCCCGCGAGATCGATGCGTGACCGACCGGCGGATATCAAATGCGATAACAGGCTAATCGCAGCGGCCGAATAATCGATCTCTCTCGAGAAGGTGAGTCCGTAATGAGCCGATAATGAGCGGTTCACGAGCATCTGGATGCTCGTTTATCGCGGGCGCGCGATAAGATTGACAACTTCTCGTCGTCGCGTGGTGGGCACCGGCTTCGCCCTCTTTTCGATCACGCGATCGGTTTCACGGTGAAAAGCCAAATCTCTCTTGGCGCTTCGTCCGAGGGACCTTTTTCCTCTCTCCCCCTTCCCCCCTTCCTTCTCGTTCGATGTTACACGCCGCGATATAAATCCGACCGATATAAACATCAAGTAACGTCGTTCACGGTTTACAACTCGGAACCCGTCGGGGAAATCGCCGAGGCGAAGAAAAGAAATGGACCGGCGCGAGCCGAAGAGTCGGAGCGCACGGATGATTCGTCGTCTAAATTTATCCGCCTTTATTTACCGGGACCCAACAATGAAACTGGATATCTCTCGCGGGAAACGAGTCGGTCTCCTTTTTCTCTGTTTTCTTCTTTCTCTCTTTTTTTCCTCGTCTCTTTTACTCTCGGCTTCTCGCGAGCGCGGTCGTGTACGGATCGTGCCGAATATAGCGGACGGAGACAACATCGCGAGCGGGGGCGGTGCTTTTGCGCTTAAACCGGACGGTATATTTATTTTCGTGGGTGGTTACGTCGCGCTATTATCTATAAACGCGGAGTACGGGTGCAGGCTGGAAGTGCCCCAAAACGCGCGGAGGAATCATAACGACGGCGTAAATCCGCGCGGAAACGGATCCCAGAGACGATCTCCGACGACCACCGGGAGACTTTTATCCGCGCGCGCGCTGACTCGGACTCATCTGTTGACTTTGCGACCGCTGAATTTCTTCCTTTCTTATTTTCATGCAAATCGCGGCCCGTCCTCTCGTCGTCACCCACCATCGGTCACCGGCGGGCGCGTCATCATTTTCTCACAAAAGATATTTTGTGTTGACACATATATATATATATATATATATCAACTATCATATATATATATACATCGAAGGCTTATGTAATTTTGTTCAAATATCTACATGTATAATTTAAATGTTTAATTATATTGCTCTGATATTTATAGCACTGATACTCAGCATTGAAGGCAACGATTTCGTGTTAAATGCAACTCTGTTTGAGACGGATATTTATTTTTTAGTAGTTTTATAAAAGTTTTGTACCGGTTATGCATTACATAATTTTTTTGTTCTGAAAGTAAAATTGACAATTTTATGCAATATAAAATATTTATTTTTTAGAGTTCTGTCAGTTTCTTTCAGAATTTCTCAAATTTTAATCGTTGAAATTCGAGGTGATTCTACAACCAAGAGATTAACGAGCCCGGATTTCGAAACTGTGTCCCTTCTTGCGATCACATGACGGTTAATTAACGCGAGCGAAATGGCGGTTCGTCGTCACACAATAATGTATCGTTCTGTCGCGTGATTGCAGTTCAACTTTGTCGGGAGGATTTTGGGGCCACGGGGCATGACCGCAAAACAATTGGAGCAGGAGACAGGATGTAAAATCATGGTCCGCGGGAAGGGGTCGATGAGGGACAAAAAAAAGGTAAGGATCTACCTGGCGCTTCGAAGCGCTAGTTTGTATGTATACGTTCATATCAATATTTATGTACAGTTCGCGTCTAATTGTAAAATATACATTGGTCATTCGGAGCGATTGTTGTCCAGTGTTATAATCCAGTGTGAGATTGGTCGTAAAATAAGAAAAAAAGGTTAATACTTCGTAAATAAATGATATGACACCTCAACGACGAGTAAGTCGACGTAAGTCGTCGAGTAGTGACGCGGCGAATGTGATGCGTTTACGATTAATTGTGGGGGAATTGCGCAGAGAATATTAAATAAACGAAGCCCTGTGTTTTTTCAAGCTGCACACGTGACGCGCAAGCGAAATGCTTTTCTCGTAAGTATATTTCGTAGAACCGAACCGAACGCCCCCTCGCACACACTGTAATTCGATGTGAACGATGTGCACCTTTATTCTTCTCGCCGACTGCGAGTGTTAAGTAAGAGAAAAGGAAAAGAAAAAAAAAAGAAAAAAACGTCAGTCGATTATTTATTTATTCTGCGATTCGATAACGAAGATCCGCGATGAACGCGCGCGAATGCTTTCCCGTAGAGAAGATCTTCTGCTGATTGAAAAATTATCCTCTTATTTATGTCAGATAACGGCAACGGATTTATTTATTGATGCTTAACGCGAGAGGAAGAGTGGAAGAATTAAATTTCATATTTCTATTCGCGCGATGTCTTGATTTATTATTATTATTATTATTATTATTATTATTATTATTATTATTTACGCGCGATGTGGTCTCTTAATTTATCTTCAGCGAGCCAAACGCTCAGAATTATAATTTCATATGAGAGCTCCGCGATATATTTTACTTTATCTCAGTTTTTACTTCATATGTTGTGTGTGTGTATGTGTGTGTACATGTATGTATGTAAGTGTGTGTGTATTTGCGTGTGGACGTGGTCGAGGGAACACGAGGCGTCTCGAGAAACAGTTACACGCCGTGCAATAATCTCCGCGGTGTGTTGATTAACTAGGAGGAGCAGAATCGGGGCAAGCCGAATTGGGAACACCTGACGGACGAGCTGCACGTGCTGCTCACCGTGGAGGACACTGAGAATCGTGCCACCTTGAAGCTCGCTCGTGCCGTCGAGGAGGTCAAGAAGCTTCTCGTTCCCGTGGTGAGGAAGTTCCAACTGCAAACGCTTTTCCCTCTCCCCGCCTCTCCCGCACGTATGCGACGTGTGACAACAATAGCCGAACACGAAAGAGAGAGAAAGAGAGAGGGAGGGAAAGCAGATATGTTTCGTTGCGAGAAACTTCGTCCAAACGGCACTTCTCGTCCGTTGTTCTCGCCGCAACTCTTCGCGAACCTTTGTCGGAATTTCAAAGTCTCGAGACTTTGACTTTTCTTCAGTTACTTTTCCCCTTTTTTTTTTCTTTTCTTTTCCTCAACTTCCAAACTCGCAAGGTCGAATGCCCGCTGTTGTTGCCGTCACTCGAGTTTTTAGCGTCAATATGATCAGTCAGAGATGAAATGACATTGGTGGGACGCGTTGGGAAACTTCGTCGAGAAAGGATTATCGCAGCAATCGCGAAGTTGCACGAATGGCATTCGGCAAATTCCTGCTGTGCGAAGAACTAATTAAGAACAGATTAGAGCCGCCGATTGCTTAACGTCACTTCTAGCATCTCGTTGTATAAAGAGAAAAAAAGGCAAGAAACAGCGCGAAGGCACTCGTCGTGATAAACAAGTATCGGATCTCGGCTGTGGCGACGCGATGAACTCGATCGATATATCGTTGCATTGGATCGGACCGATACAATGTGTGTTTTGTGAGTGACGCAACGCTTCCCAGCACGAGCTTCGCGCCATTAGTGACGTAATCGGCGCCTTCGTATGTAAATGAAAAAAAAAAGGAAAGAAAGAAGATCCTGCAAAATGGCATTGGTCCCTCTCTCTCTCTCTCTCTCTCTGTCTGTCTGGCGGAGGAGCTCCTATAGAGTAATTATGCCGTTGCACCTCCGCTGATGGTGCGTTCTGACGGTGATGTCGATTGTTAGCAGGCTGACGGCGAGGATGAGCTTAAGAAAAGGCAGCTGATGGAGCTCGCGATCATCAACGGAACTTACCGGGATTCGAACACAAAGGTTGCCGCGGCAGCAGGTACCGTTCTCGCAAAACTTGTCTCATTATGCGCGCGCGCACTTAGGCTACTTCACGTCGTGTCACTGCCGCGAGCCGACATGCAGGATCCAAGGATGCGCCCGATCGAGAGACGGACGCGACGGACTCTCATAGCGCGATGAATCCGTTCGCCTCGTGTCTAATCGCGATTTGTCTCGTTTACGTGGCTGAGCGAGGGAGACAATCTCGTCGATATATGGTCATCGCATGTCGCAAGTGCCGAGAATAGGATGACGACTAATGGGAGGGAAAAGAACGAACTTGGGATTTTTTGGATTCAGTTTCAGCTCGGCGTACGTTAGTCGATAACGAGAGAGGAGAGCCCTTTGCATTTCTCCGAAGTTTCACCTCGAAGGGCCGAGTGATTCGGTTTGTGTAGATTGAATTCCTCAAAAGGATTCCCCAAATCGTCGAGCGAATGTTTTCACTCGAAACTGAAGAGTGAATCCGATGATATTCCACCGTCAAATTCAGCTGAATCGACTGAAAAAGTTGTTCAGTCTACAGTTCAGGAATTTGCGTTAAGTTTGAATTAAATATTTACTTTCTTATAATACCAAGCGGTAGTGTTTCCACCGTCGTTCGGAGTGAGATTTTACTCCAAGTGGTTTAGAGAGAACGTATCCCATCGTGACGACGGTAAAAAACACGTAAGAAAACCACACGTGGGCGGTCGGCTAATGCGATTAATCCCCGCCGAGGAAGCAGAGGAGGGGAAGGAAGAAGGGAAGAAACGACGGTTTCCACACAGATCACCTTGTTTTTTTCTTTCTTCGTTTTTTCCCCCCTTCCCCCCTCCCCCCCGTAATTGCGTAAAACAGGCTCGAAATCGTCCGAAGCTCATCTTCCGATGCGTCATGGCCAATAAAATGATTCGTATAACAAATACTGCTATATAGGTATTAAGTCACTTAAGAGAGAAAATTAATGGCCAATAAGAGTCTATGCATGGAGGTACTGGTGCGATAAAAAGGAACCTGGAAATTTAATTTGGTCCTTAGTTTTTCCACTTGTCTACGGATAAATAGTTACGGAAGTAGACTGCATATTACGTATTTATTAGTTCAGATGTTTCGATCTCAAATTGGATTTTTTTCAATGGTAAACATAATTACAAACTTCGGTTCCAACTTGGAGGATCGAAATGTCTGGCCTAATAAATACATGTAATATCTGTACATTTCTGAATTACGACTAAAGATTCGTATAACATCTGAAGATGAACTTCAGACGATCATACAAGATCTGACCATGAATACTGCCTTTGATTCGATAACGTTGACATAAAAAACGACATAGAAAAAATTGTTGCACGTACACGAAGAAAGAGGTTCTTTAGATTTAATATTTCTATTTATCAGACTAAAATTTGTTTTATCGAAACAACGTATACGAAATATTATTTGTACGAGTAAAAATTTTATCGTCTCATTCAAGAGAACTCCATTATTATTTAACGGAAGAAAGAGCGCTATTATTTAGAATAATAGCTTTTAACCGAATGGAGTGTTATTCGGTCGCAACAAATATGTAAAATGAAATAAATAATTTCTTTATGAGAAAATTGTTTTATTCAAGATCAAGATATATATTCGTTGGTCTAAAAAAAAAAGGAAGTCTAACAATCGTACTCACTAATCGAAACGTTAGATTCTTTTTTTAGAGCATACCAATGATGAAGTTCGTTTGGATGCGATGAAATTTATGGAATTTGAAGAGATCTTTTCCCCCGTGCAAAACCCAAAGAAGAAGTCCTGTTCTCCGTATACGAACGCACATCGGCAAAAGCCGCAGAGACCCGCACTGATCCCCGCTCACTGTTTCAGCCTGCGACGAGGAGTGGCGGCGAGTAGCGGCCGCCGCGGCGGAGACGCAACGCCTGCTGCCGGGCCTGGCGACGCCGATGCGGACGCCGAGCGCGCCGCTGGGCGCGCCTCTGATCCTGTCGCCGCGGATATCCGTGCCGACCACCGCCGCTTCTCTGCTGAACGGCTCCGGGCCTCCGGGCTCGCTGCTCTCGGCCGGCGACCCGCACGGTCTCATCTACGCGCCATACACGGCCGATTACGCCAACTACGCGGCTCTGGCGGCTTCGCCGCTGCTCACCGACTACGCCACTGCGGATCACTCTGGTGGGTTGTTTGCTCGTTGAGATTACCGTCTCTCGCGACAGACAGGGAGGAAATGCGCCTCTGCTCTCGCGAGAGAAAACGACGACGATCGTACTGCTGCCCCGGCTCGCTACGTCGCCGGCGATGAGGGTGCGCGCTCGCCGCATATCCTCTTCTTCGTATTGATGCTGATTGTCTTAACGTTACTGTGCTTATGGGTCGGTCGTTACGAGTCGTTCGTTTTCATCGGTAACACGCTGTGCGTCGACGACGCTCGCTGGTGACGCTCCCCGTCTCTCCTACCGCCGCCTCCCGTGCCGCGACCGTCTTCGCTTTCTTTTCCGATCGGGCCGGAGGGGACGCGAGATTAGACGAGCCACGAACGTAGTTAACGCCGGCTAATGAGAAAAAGGGAGTCTCTTCTCTCGCAGGGGTTATCGGGCGGCGTTATCGAACGGACACTCGCCGGATCTCCGCGACCCGCCGCCGCGGGGTATATTCGGACCTGGGAATCGAGACGTTGACTTTCGTGATCTTTGCGTTCAAGGACGGTGCGCGTCTCGATGTGAACATTGTGTCACAATGTACTGCTGGCGGTAACGAGATCAACCGGTCTCTGTTTAATGATGCAATACCGCCGCGCGCGTGCGAGCAACCGTGGTCGAAATTACTTTGCAGTGCGTTAGGGGATCCGACGAGACACCTTCGCATGAGAGCGACCTCCGGGAGCGTCACCAACACTCCGTGACACGTGGTACAATCGCGTAGATTATAAGACGATTTAATTTGTTATTATCACGAGCCGATACCGCTCTTTTAGCCATTAATTATTATTATCGTTATTATTCTTATTATTATTATTTTATTATTTTATTATTATTATTATTATTATCACCCTCACCGTCATTGTTGCCCTCGTCATCGTTCCGATTCCGTCACCATCATCACCCTCATCATCACCGTAGCAGATAGCGCTTTAGCTTCAGGAGGAGGAGAATAGTTAGCTTAGATTATTATATATATATATATATATATAGATAGACGTAGATACATATATATATATATATCCAACACAACCGAATCAGTCATTTGCTAGTCTCGTGTCAGTTCAGACGTAATGATAATGATTTAACGCGAAAACGTTAGCGTGTAACGTAACGTATGCGCCGTGTCTACCGGAGTAATTATATCACTGAAGATTCAGGGTTATCGTAGCGATAGAGTGTCGCGGCGGGAGTACAGGGCCGTTTTCGCCGGCATGGCTTCGTCAGGAACGATGCAGTAGGATTATAATAGGAGGAGGAGGAGGAAGTAGCGGAAGAAGCAAGGGAAAGATTGCAGGAAACAGGCGTTTTGTGCACTCGTCGTGCTGTATCGCGGATGTGCGGCCGTATACTAGTCCGAGAGCTTTTCTTAAATAGAGCCAGCCGGGAGCAGCGCGTTCGGCGGGCAGCCGCGTGTCTCCTCGCAGGATAACGTGCGTCATCTATCCGCTCTCCTCGAATCACGCTTCGCGAATCGCGCGTTTTCTTTGTTTTTTCTTACTCGGATTTTCGTAGACTCGCGAGGCTGCCGCGGCACGATGTGCTCTCCGCGTCGCGCTCGGGGACATCGTCGTCGTCCTGCGGGAAACCTTTAGGTGTCAGGGTGGTGGGTCGTGGAGTCGCGTTTAACCATCGTCGTTCTAGGCCCGGCGATCGTGCAACTCTTTCTCAAGAGTGAGCACGAGGAAAGGTTTTGCGTTTTCTACAGTCCGGAAGGCTGCATGACTGTTCGAGTCGTGCCGTATCGCAAGAAATCTCTCGTGTTTCCGCTCTTAGAAGGCAGAGATACACGGGGTGGAGGGAAGATTGGTTGAATTGAAAGGAAGAAATTCGTTCTTACGGAACCTTCTTGTTAAGAAGCAGGTATCCCGTTTCCTTCAACGATTCAGTGTTTTTCTTTAAAGAATCGCGCAGTTTTCCGCAGTAAATTCTACGACGTCTGATATTTCAAACACTTTTTCCTTTAATCACTTTTCAACAACGTAATTTTAACGTGCCTTATATTTTATGATATTATATTGCATCTTATAAAGAAAATGATGATTCATTTATATATATATATATATTCAATATTTTCTCAACAATTTTTACTTTTCTTTGATGTGTTTCCAGCAAAATATTTCCATGGGGCTGGTCAGCTGAATTCTGCCAATCCTCTTTTCTCCGTGTAATATAGCTTTTATGAACATTCTTCCACTTGGAACACGTTAGAACAGAGTAAGCATCTTCTGAGCTTGCTCAGTTACATCTAATTCGGGACGAGTCGTCCCCGGGTGTGCACGATCGCCATTTAGCTGTCGCGTCGCGTGCTCGGGATGTGTTCGCGACACCAGGACCCTCCTTCCTCGCCGTCCCACCACAGGCACACATCATCCAACACATCGTCCCGCAGTTCCACCTATCCGAAGTGGTACATACGAGTCGACGGGTTCCCCGTGAGACGTTGCACAGCGCGATTGCTCGACGGAGTAGATCGCGATAGACCACGTCCTCCGGCACTTTCGTGTGTTCGTCTTCTCTCTCGGCGTGTCTGTCTCTTTCTCTTCCCCTTCCCTGTTACAAAGGCACCTAGTTACCCGGTGAGAATGCCGCCGCGTCGACCTGATAGGTACATTTTTGACGACGGGTCTCCTCCCCGTGGAGAGATCGGGAGATATCCGTGACGCGTTTCTCATCGCGCACCACTCAATGCAATAATCAAAGGCCATTCGTGTTTTAGTAGCCGTTTTATACACGTGTAACTTTGTGTAGCTTGTGCGTTTGTCGGTGTGTATTACGCGTGCACACAGAGAGAGAGAGGGAGGGAGAGAGAGAGGGAGAGAGAGAGCGATTCCTTCGGGATTTGGTATAGTCGACTCAAACAAATTTATCGAAATGATTTAAACAAATCAAATTTTTTTTTCCGTTCAACAGGTTTTTTTTTCATACAACCGTTTGGCTTTTCGAATAATTTTATCGTTTGGTTCAGATATTTTTTTATATATATTTATATGGCTGTCTCTTTTCATCGTACGTGATGAAGGTTTCCGTGACTTTCTATCCCTCGTTGTTCGACTTCAACGGTCGAACGGGAATCAATTACGCCAACTAGCTTTAACAATATATTAGCATTATACTTATGACACGCCCTTGCGTGTTCAAAAACTTTTCTAATTCACAGTTAATCTGACGAGACGAAATAATATTTGATAAAAAAATTGTATCGAGTCGAACAAACAAACACGAACACTGGATCCGAAGAAATCTTTCTCTCCGTGTACGCACGTCGCGTATGTATATTTCAGAGAGTATATATATATATATACATACTACATATATATATATTTATTTAAAAGTAGAAGAGATAAAACGTAAACGTCGTACCGTCGTACGAGGCTCCACAGATTTTCTTTTTCTCCTCGCGACTGCTTTCTTCGGAGCTCGACGGCGACGGGAAGGATGTATCATCGCCGGATACATCGTAGAATGTAAATCGCAGCGCAATAGAGACGTTTCTCCGTACTGGAAAGGAAAGGAAGAGGAAATAAATGCCGGAAAAAGTCTTCCGAACGGCCTGTCGGCAGGGCGGTGATGATGGCGCGCATCAACCGAACGTATTCTTTCACTCCGCCTTTTCTCTTCTCCGCGTCTTTACGCGTTTTTTTTTTTCTTCCTCTTCGTCTCTCGTCTCATGCGCATTATCGTGTGCTACGTTTGATACGCTTGACTCTGTCGAATTGTGTATTACACTTTAACAACGCACCACATAACCCACGAACGTACCACTAGAATCCCAATCGAATCCCTCGGGTTGAGTCTTCTAACACGCGAAACTAAACAACTAATCAACACTCTCTCTCGAGATCCGTCCACCTCTCCTACGAGACCTACTCATCTATTACGCACCATCACACAGATTAGTGGTGTGTATTTTTTTTTACTTCTCTCACATATACACACTCATCCCGTCGGTCCGAACGAAAAATCGTACCTCCGTTACGTAACTCTTGTGCAGTAGCGGGCTCTGTAGCGACGTAATTGCGCGAGTCGCTTAGGCAGGTAGGCAGCGATAGTTTTCTAAATGAGGAGATGAGCAGAAAAAAGAAGCACGAGGCGAAATAATACTCGATTGCACGAGATTCTTAGAAGGATTTACTTCTTTTTTACGGCTGTTTTTTTTTTGAATTTTTTTTTTTTTTTTTTTTTTTCCCCCGGAGCGAGACTCGCAATTCGCGCGTTCATGGAGAGGGAAGAGGAATCCAATCGAGGTGGTCGTCGTCTCGTGAAATTCGATCGAATCGGCAAAATCGGATCGGGATCTGTCGCGCGCGACACGCCATACAACAAATGTTACAATGGCTGGTGATAGGTAGTCTATGTAAACTATAAGTACATGTATGTACGCGATATACACGTAGGACGTTTTTTTTAGGCAGACAGTAGGTGGAGGGAGAATATACCCCAGGGACCAAACAATATTTTGTGGACTGATGGTTCTAGCGTTTACTTGTAGTGGTTTCTCATGACGAGCGGGAAAGACTATGCGTTCTAAAGTATTTTTTTTTCTTTTTTTTTTTTTCTTTCACTTTTCTCGTCCTCGAGTCCGCGTCCACGCCCCGCCCCGCAGGAGCACGGCAAATGGAGAATTGAACAATGAAAAATTAGCGCTTATATGTATACATACATATACATATATATAATATATACACATATACATATATATATTTATATATTCAAGATATATTTTCTATATACACAATACTTTCGATAGCATAGTCTTTAATATTAAAGTATATTTTATCGCGAATTATATAATATATATCACATATATATTATATCACACGAACACGCGCACACACACACGCACACACATACTCTCATATATATATATATATATATATATTATTTTGTATGTTTATTTAATTTTATTTTTATAAAGTTTTAGCCGTTATATACGTATTTATACGAGGTTAAGGGCCGAAACAACGGGTGGTAGGTGTAATCTCAATACTCATTGTTGTTTAGGAATCGAGTAGGAACCGAGTCGGTAAAAAGTCGTGTTTCTTCTTCCGTTTTGTTCGTTCATTTTTTTTTTTTTCTTAAGTTTGATGCATCACACACGCGAAAGACTTTTATTACCTGATTTCTCGACAAGAATCAAAAGCGGCGTCTCAGCCGGACGAAGGAGACGAGTACTAGCGAACAGTCCGGTGACGATTATTTGTGTCTCTCGAGTATTTAACGAATTTTATATATACACATATACATATATACATACATATAAATAATACATAATAACGTATGCGCGAACGCGCGGAACGCGAATCGTGTATAATTTATAAGCGCGTCGCGTAGCGAACAAGAGATGTCATATTACATATATATATATATATATTTACACATATACATATATTATACGATAAGCTCGTCTAGCAAACGTAGCATGTAAGTAAGTTAAAGTAAGCAAGCAAAAGAAACAAGCACGTGTCACTCCAACGGAGCCGTGTCTCTCACCTCTCACGCGAGGCTGGCGAAAACGTGTTAATGTAAACAATTTCAGGGACAACGCACTCGATTTCACTGACGATGTATTCTTACAGTATTCTTACAGAGTGTTCTGGTAGGACGAGCAAGCTCACCCGGCTGCCATCGTATTACGAGAGCCTGAGGAGCGCGACCGAGCGTAAGCCGCGAGAGACGAAAAGAGAGATAGTGAGGAAGAACGAGAAAAAAAGAGAGGGAGAGGAAAAAATCGACTATGAGAAACTAGTCTATCATTACGCGTTCAAACGTGCATTTAGCATGTTTACAGATACGTGTAACAAAGTAATTACATTGTAATTACATGCTTTTGATAACGCGTATCCGTTTGCCAACCTCAAATCCGTTTATTCGTTTTATCCGTTTCCACAGAAGAAGGAAAACGTTAGTCTCGTTGCATCCTTTTTTTTTTACTATAGAATTTTTTTCAACGAAATAGAAAAATCATCTTATGTATAACTTGTGTGAGAACGGTTCGCAAATTTAATAGAACTGGGGAGCAGAATCTGCCGGTTTAAGGAGGTTCTCGCAAATATACTATTTATCAAACAAAATCGTGCGTGACAAAAGAAGTTTGATGAGGTTTCATGAAGTTTCTCTACTTGCACACGTACAAGTTTACAATTAAATATTTCGGAAACGACACGGTAAAAATTATTGGGATTTCCGTTACGCATTGTTAGTTCAATTAACTTTCGTATCATGCATGTGTCACACGTCAATCTTTTATATTTCGTCAAATTCTCGAACCTTCTTAATTAAACGTTCAGTTACATCGGAACGTTTTCCATCGAGTCTTTCTAAGCGGATATACTCGAAACGTGTATTCAGAAAACGGATCAAAATGAAAGCTCCAACAGAGAGCAAGGCTTTCAAGTCTCTCCCTTTCTCTCTTTCCGCGTTTCTAATTTCTCATTCGCGATTTTTAAGTCTCGAACGGACAGTGCGAGAAGACGGAGCGGAGTGTCCCTCCCTCGTCCTCGCTCGACATGTCGCGTCTACCGAACAGTATTCCGCGCGAGTCGCGCATTTGAGGCGGCTCCTCGTGCAGCCGACCGCTCGTTCCAGCCGTCCCCCGGAGATGACGATCGCAGTGAAGCACTCTCTCGCGGCCTCCTCGGCGACGGTCGCGCGCCCCAGGCGATCGCAGCGTATTAATCGGCGGTGCCGACGCGAGTCGTTCGCGTCGGCACCGTCGGAACCCGTTTCATAAGAAAAGAGGAAGGAGGGAGAGGAGGAGGGGATATTTCGAGAGAGAGAGAGAGAGAGAAAATAACAAGCAAATGAGCTGCAATCCATGTGATATTTGTGAGAATTCGCGATCCGGAGCTTCGGATTCTCTCTGGAAAAAGATGCGATTCTCACGAACATCTCTTTCTCTCTCTTTCTCTCTCTTCCACCCTCCCGTCCCCTTCATTCTTTTCCGTGGAACGGGCTCCTTGGTGTGTATGTGTGTCGTTCTTCTTATTCTTTCCTCTTTTCTGTTTACATTAATAATAGCGTGTGAAGAATTCTAGATTTTGTAGAGGATAACTGGCGGCGAGCGAGCGAGAAAGAGGGAGAGAGAGGGGGGAGGGAGGGAGGGAGAGAGCGAGCACGGCGTGCGCGGGTCTCGCGCACGCGGAAGAGGCCGCTCTCATACGCACTACTCATGCTTGTATTTTGGCGACAGGCGCAGCGGCCGCTGCCAAGCAGCGCAGGCACCTGGGTCAGATTCGCGAACACCCTTATCAAAGGGCCGGCGCTCTCTCGTGAACACACGGAGACAGTGCGACACGCAAAGAGAGAGAGAGAGCGAGAGAAAGAGAAAGCGAGAGAGAAAGAGCGAGCGACCCCCGAGCGAGCGAGAGAGAGAGAAAGAAAAAGAAAGACAAAAATAAGAGAGAGAGAGAGAGAGAGCACCGTTCTCGCGCCACCGCGGAAAGGTTAGTCCTGCACATAAGAAACTTCGTTTTCTTCTTTTTTTTTTTACACACATCCTCTTTTTCTTTTTATTGTTTCTTTTCTTTTTTCTTTATTTCCCCCCACCCTCCGCGCGTGCCGTTTACGCGCGCCACGACGAGACATACTCGCGCAACGTGTCGACCTCGAGCGGCCGCAGGTGTTTTCCTTCTCGACCTGGAGCCTCTCGCGGAGCACGGTGGTTGCTCTCGGTGTCGCGTCCGAAGAGGTTCCTCTTCGCGGGAACGCGCGGAAGAAACGGGCGGGAGAGCCAGCGGGTCGCGACGTGTCGCCTCCAATTCGACAACTCTGTCGTCGCTGTTGTGTTTCGCACTCTTATTTATTTCTCTATATTTTTATATGTATTCTCGTATCCGCGGAATTTCCAGGTAATGAGCGTTCCTGCAGAGAGAAAGAGAGGAGAGAGAGAAAGAGAGAGAGAGAGAGAGAGAGAGGGAGAGATTCGCGTGACGCCGACGCATTTTTGCACGCTGCGTCACTCGGTGACGCGACCGAGTGACCCCGGGAGTCCCCTTCCCGTCGAGGCTCTCGTGACGCGTCTCGCGTGGTGACGGCCGTCGCGCCCGGGTTCCTCCGGATCTCGCGTTGCGTTCGTACGTCTCGTCCTGTATACCTGACGCCGCGCTGATCGACATCGGTTTCTCGCTGAGATCGCGCTTCACTTCTCTTTCACACATACATACACACACTCACGCACCACACGTACACGTACGTACACACATGGACACGGACACGTGCGCACTTTTGTCCACCGGTTTGTCCTTTTCAGCTGAATCGATAGCCCGCACTGGTTCAGGATGTGTATATTANTTAAAGCGTTTTTTTTTTTTTTTTTTGTGACGTCATGTTCACTGTTCTTTTCAGCAGTACAGTTCTCTTTACTTAGAGCAATAATTTGTTAAACTGGCTGCTGTGGATTTCGAGTTAGTAAACGGAAAAAATGTTCCTCTGGATTTAATAAGGAAAGGTGCTGTACTTTGGAACCACTTTAGTGATTTTAGCGTTATCAATTTTTTGTTTTGCTAATGTGATAATTCATGGTGTTTGCCGCCGTAGATAAGAATTCTGACGGCAAACGCAATGAATTACATCACATTAACAAAACGAAAATAATTAGTAGATAAAGCGCTGAAATCAGACGTGTGTCCAAGGTACAAGCACCTTCCTCTAAACGTGTTTGACTTTCGTTTGTTTGATATGAACAACATAATTTAATGTCAAATATTATTTCGTTGAAGTGAAAGCATTGTTGTTTCACAAGATTAAACTATGTTGTTTGATGGAAAAAGACAGTATTATTTAGAGGGAGTAATATTTCGTTTTCAGTTAAGGAAAATTTATTTCATTGTGCGTTAAACATTGTTCCACCAGTGAAACCAAAAAGTTTGCCAATATTTTCCCAGCACAGTTTGCCTCAAGTAATTTATACAATTTATGACAACTGTCGTAATGATCGGATGAAAATACAAAGAAATGTGTTATTTGACATAATCACTATCTTAACGCTATCACGTTTTTCTACCGTTCTCCAGTCTGAGTTGCGATCCCGGTTCAGCTCAAGAGAACGAACCATCACGCGGCATACACGTGGCACGTAGATTTCCCTACGGGAGGATGATTAACGTCGCAATAACCGCGTGTTCCCCTGCGCCTCAGCCCTCCCGTTAGCAAACAAGCTCTCCTCAGACCTCACGCCGCGGCGGAAACCGGCGTTGCAGCTCGCATTATAATCGTAATGGCAGGTTCAACGTCGAGAGATAATTGGACGGAGAACGGGAGAAAGAAGCCGAAGGGAAAGGAGCGGCGATTGCGTGGGAGGGAAAAACCTCTCGGGGTCCGAGAGAGGCAACCGGAGGAGGACCACGCAGCGCGAACGCGCCGCGTCGTCGTCATTCGGAAAGTCGAAAATGCGATTGACGCACTTTTAAAGACGCAGGTTTCCGGCACCGAGGCTGGCGAAGTCGCCAGTCGACGCGTCGTCTGAGGAAGTCGAGCGGCTTGTGAGGGTCCTCCTAGTTTCAGATTTTTTTTATATTTGTAGGTTTTTCTTTATAATTTTATTTTCTTATATTTATTTTCGTATCACTTTCCTTCGATGCTCTCTTTTGTAAGATTCGAACTCACGTCGCGAGTGATCGCGCCCTCGACGTGACTCCCCCGCTCTTAGGTCCGAAAACGTCTTCCTGGAGACGTCCGTACCGAGTGACGCGGAGTGAAGGTCCGAGAGAGAGAGAGAGAGACGGAGAACTAGGACTTTCATCTCTTCGCGTTGTCCGGTACAGACGGCACGCATTGTGGACGCGTTCCGTTAGATGTGTCGAAAATATATTCGTCTCAAAGCTGCTGGGTTCTGTAGTGGATCAGCTGATATTGTGGTTTCCATCTACCCTGCTCCCATCAGCATCTTTACTGATCTTTATACCGTTGAGCATTTTTGGTAGAAAATTAATTTAATTATATTCGGTAGATTATTTTCAAGTTTAAACGAAAATTCTGAGATTAGACGAAATAATAGGTATTTATTAATTTATTTTATTTATTTATTTATTAACTTTTCATTAGTTAAATTTAACACGTTGTATGCCGTGGGGCTCACCGGTGACTGGTACTGTGATATTACTGCGTTTTATTAAGTTACGTATGATATATAATTAATTACATCCAGATGGGCCTTACGGCCAAATAAAGAGCCAATGAAACAAAGTAAGAAATATATGTATCTTGAATTATATTTATTTACTGCGGTTTTAGTGATTTAATCATCAGTTAGATCAGTTAGATATTCGTACGAATAGTAGAAATCAGCGTGGCACTCAACGTGTTAAATCAATTAAATTAATTGTATATGTATATAAAAATTTTCAATATATATATTGAAAATTTTTTATGGAATTCAGCAAAGTTAATTACAGCACTACCAACTTGGTAGCTTAGAAGAATATTCTCGACACATCTAACGAAACTCATCCTGCATCATGTATGTCTCACCGATGTAATTTGAGTTGCTTACGCGACTTTCGACCTTATGTGTATAATGTATAAAGCCGAAAATCGTGTAACTCTTGATCTAGTGTACGATGAGATGTACATGTCGCGTTGTACTTCCTGTCTGTTCCTTCCTTCCTCCCGGATCTACCGGACGAGACTTCACATCTTGGTTCACACACAAAACGTAAACGTGGGTGCGCACCTTCTCTGTCTTGCACACGTGTCTCGGTTACAAGCAAGCACCGGCCCGGACAGTCGCCCATCCGCGGCATGACGGGCTGTTCTCGCGGGTAAGAATAGTCCTCGCGTTAGGAATTCGAAAGACAATCGTTGCAACTAAAAAATTGTTACGTTGACGATCGATTGTATCATTTGCCACTCAATTGTCCGCGAAAAGGATCGGTTACTCTCGTGGATGAACCCTCTGAGGGAATGGTAACGCGGTACGATGCGAAGGTTCACACATAAATTACATCGATCCGAACGGTATCATGATAATAATATCGCTTGATCGCATGATAATAATGTCGTCGTTATTATTAATGAGAACCGAGGTTTTTCACTTCAAAGTCGATAAAATCAAAACGCGAAGAAAGAAATCACGCAGGCAAAATGTCTGTTTTGCTTTTTGTCATGATGCGCCGAACCATGGTGTTTTCAATTATTTCTGTTTAATTTAACGTTTTGTGTAATTTGTCCGCGATCGAACCGTTCGAAGGGACGATAAAGAGGAAACGGTGTAATTCGTGGGGACGCGACAAATGCTGCCAGAGAGAAACAGAAAGAGAAAAAGACGGCATATATCTCTCCCGTCCTTTTTTACGTACTTTTATCACTAACCAGTATTTTCTTTTTTTTTTCTTTTTCATAATTCTGATTGACATTCCTCGTTATAGATGCAACTTCACCAATTACATAGGTCGCACAACTGCACCATCTTTATTTATAAACTAACAATTCACACACACACACACACACACACATACACAAATAATACACACAAATCGACAATAACACACGTACGTGATATAAATTATTTTCAACAAGACCGGAAAAATAGATGCACAAAATCGCCGTTTAAGAACGTCTAAAATAGAATTTGCACGCGCTGTAATTTCTACAACGAACCATTTCTTCCCCCGGTGGATTGTTTTCACGGTAGAATCGCGTGTACACGCTCGTGCGAATAAACTTTTTCTTTAATTTTTGTGGTTTAAACTACGTCTATTCTGCGGAACTGGGAACGGGAGGGACCGCAGCATCGTCGGCGAGGAAGTTCCGGTTTCGCAATTACGCAATTACGTTATTCTCAGCGCGATCACGGCGAGAGTAAAACGCGCGGATTTAGCAATTATCGCGTTTATCCCGGTCCGTATTGAAAGGAAGCATTGTTTCGTTGCGCGAGAACAAAATGATTATTTATCCGGCCGCATTTAATTGCTATTTACAAAACAATTACACACAGACACACAAAACACGGACAGACGCGTATGTAAATAAAGAGTATCCCACAAGTCGCAGGTCAATCGGTGTGAAGGTTCTACGAGGAAGCTGCGTTTAACCAATGCATTATCATAATAACTATTACGCTGAGATGAAAAATAGTCTCGAAGCTTGACGGATCTCATCCGGAAGCATTTTTTCAGCGGAATTTTATCCTCGCGCGGAGAAAAATGTTTCTTTGGATTTAGCATACCTTTGTTTGTTTGATTTGGGTCTATTTAATATAAATATAAATACTTTAGTATCGAATATCATTTCATTTGATAGAATAGAAACGCATTGAAGTAGCTTCGACAACTGTTCGGTCGCGATGTTTTTCTCGCAGATACCCGAATATTTTTTTTCCAAGATTTCCCGTCGAATCTTCCGCCGTCCGTCCGCACGATTCACCCAGCACTCACGATACGTCATACACTCGTTTACCAAATGATCTGTTTAATATTGTATATTAATAATACGCTTCTGATTGAAAAACAACGCCTAGAATTTGTATCATACATAGACGTACATATCTGTCCTAAATGGCACACACGGCAAAAAAAAAAACGGTAAAGAGAAAACGGAAGGAAACACTCTCGTGAGCCTCTGACACTTGCTTGCTGATGGGACATTAATCACTAAAAGTTCGACGACGATCCCGCGGAATTCGCGATAGCGATATAATACACCGTCGTACTACTCTACTACTGTTACTTACTGTTACTACCACTACTACTATTACTACTACTACTATCACACGTAACAACAAACGTCCAAATTCCGCGGCGTAATTTCGCGACTGTGCTATGTGGTGGCAGGTGCACACCCAGCAAGCTGCCCCGTCTCTCCGGGATTCACTCTGTCGTAACCGTTTCGGAAGTAACCACACACGTGTGTGTAACGAATTAGCGATTAACCAGTGATCGATCGATCGATTCCCGCCATTTGACTCGCGCGATCTCCTGCCGTGTCTGCTCTGTGTAAACAGGCAGCCACGTTTCAAGCACACGCCGTTTCGCGCGGGCTGGATGCACCGGTACGAAGTGAAGAGGTAGGAAGGTACCATCGGACTTCCTTTTGAAACGAGAAACTCCCGATGAACATTTCGAGAACGCGAAAGTAATCGAGACAACTTGACGAGATCTATTGTTGCAGTTTTGAAGTTTCGAAGAAAAGGAAGTACCTTTTCCCGCGGATTTCTGCGGTTTCTGCTCCATAATTCAAGGGACGTTCAGAAGAAATTTTAAAAATTACAAAAATTCGCGCGTGTTCAGTGTAAACCGGTCGTGTTTTTTTTCTTTCTTAAAGAAGATAAACGAAAAAATCCTGGGAAAATTTGAGAATAGACGGGGTTTTTTCCGAAACTTTGAAACTATATTTATCGTATTCACAATTTGGTAACGCGCATTTCATCGGAACAATATCAGACGCATCCATCCCGAGGCGTGCGGGAGTTTTCTCGCAGTGACGTCCATCAAGACTGTCAAGACTGTCCTATGCGCGGGGAAGGTACACGAGCGACGTCATTCGTCATCGTCGTCGTTGCTTCGCGAGACGACCGAGAGTGACACCGGCTTGCGAAGCTCGACGCGAGACATCCTTCACGCGTCTCACACCACTCATCACACACGCACACACACATACACACACATCTATAGAGTGTCTCAAAGTTCACGATAAATATTTTAATAATAAGTACTTGGCAGCATTCTAAGACACGAAAGTACGAAGATGTCGAGCATCGATACTTTTCGCGAATGAAGCTTCGGGCGACCAAACAGACGACAAAATTATTTTCCCCGATTAATTTCAGACGGTCTTTAATTTGACGGAATTTTAATTCGAGGCTCAGCTACAGAGATATGTTGAAGATCGAAAAATTACTGTACAATAATTAATGACTCCCCTCGATATTTTTGTGTTGGAACTGTCTTGGATTTTATTGTTGAAAATCGAATACGAAGAATTTCTTGTCGAAACGCTTACCGTGAACTTCGAGACGCCCTGTATGTATCGTCTAGATTGTAATCTCGTTTGTCGCCGGGACAAGGCGCGTTTATCGGGTCCGAGAGAGACGCTTTCACACACTAATAATAATATTTTACAACAAAAGTAGCAACGAGTGCCGGTGTGCAAAGCAATGCTTCTCGTCGCGCGGACTCGCGTCGCCTCGGTTCCCCCTTGGCAAGTCGCTAACCGTGCTCGCGATCGCATCTCTCGCGAGCGAAGGCAATAATCGCACGTGTGACATAAGGTTGCATCATCGGGGATCGAGAGACGAGAGATTTTCCGCTCTTGAGGAGACTTAACTGCCAATTAATCGGCGCACCGATACTACCGTTTCATGATTGTTGTGTATATCATGTCATCATATGTATGATGATGCCATCGTGCAGGGTGAGGCGATAACCGTCGATGAAATACCGCCTTGAATATCTTCGAGATGTGCGGGAGATGGATTTATCTGAACGAAAACAATTGCACTGATACCATTCGTGGTCATCCTCTGTAATGAACGCGAATCACTTTCATCTTCATCCGATCGATGACGAAGTGAGGCCTTACTCTTCGAAGATATTCAAGATATTACTGTCTCGCCCTGTACACATCACGACGACGTCATCATATTGTATCATGACAGAGCGTGATATTATATCATCATATGTGATATCATATCATTTATACGTATAAAGGACGACGGACACACACAGAAGCGTTGCTTTTCACACTAACTCGTATCTCTCTCAGCTGGCGAGCTATACTAGTTAATTAATGTTAACGCGCGTCGGTCAGTCATATAATCAGATTACTAACAAACTGTTTTTTCTTTTCTTTCTTGTTAACCCCGGTTGCCCGTGGCCTGTAGGCTTGGAGTGCTAACAATGGATATCCACTCGCCCCGTGCTAACACCTGGACTCTGGAACAGCATCCCGCGTTCGATCGGTTCACCAACCAGCCGACCACCTTCGCCGTCCGCGTCACCAGCCCCGTTCGTCAAGCTTATCCATCATCCTGTATCCTCTTAATGTTCGGGACGTAATTTCTCGCGCGCATCTCTGCGTACTATATATTGTGATTATTATTACGAGAAGAAGATCAGGTCGTCGTGTCGTCGTCGTCGTCGAGCTGATCGCGCGTTGCGCGCTCAAACTGGCATTCGTCTCGCGAGGAGATCGGCATTATGATGACCTATGATAGCGTAATATAATTATGGTAATTTCGAAATCTTCGAATCTGCTGGTGCTTACTACATAATCGAGCGATTATCGTCGCACTACGCACCCGAATCGTTCTAATTCACCTTTCCTTTTATCATTTTCTGGCTTACCTTTCATCATTGTGCCGCCGAGGGTTAATCTTCCCGTTGATCAAACGAATGATAATAATAACAATGATCTCTCTGCGCGAGAAGCTCGATTCGACGGCGGGAGCACAACGGTCGGAGAGAAAAGTCAGTCGCACCGAAGAATCGCAGGATAAGAATCGCGGACAGGAAACGTGGTAAAAGCGAGGTAAAAGAGAAAGGAATAGAGGGAAAAGCGTGGAGCCAAATGGGGAAAAGGATTTCGCGCGCGTCGTGGGCGAAAAGAACGCGCGCTCCTTTTCCTCCGCGTTGGCTGGAATCGCGCGGGACTATTCCTGGCTGCTTTTTTCTCTTTTTTTTTTTTCTTGGGAAGCGAGTCAAGTTATCGCGGGATCCGAATTCCGCGCGCGACGGTCGCAGCGGCGGCGTAGTTGACAGTTAGTGTGTAGTTTCTAGATATTACCGCGACGATGCTTAAATATATATATATGTATATATATATGTATGTATGTATGTATATATATATGTATATGTATGTATGTGTGTATGTATGTGTGTGTGTGTATGTATGTATGTATGTATGTATGTATGTATGTATGTATGTATATTTTTTTCCGCTCGATTTCGTCGCGAGCGTTCTGTTAGAGCAGCCGCAAGTATTTGGTTCGTTTTTTTTTTCTTTTGTTTGTTTTTTGATTTTCCATCTTCTCTCTCTTCTCGCGGCGGCGAAAGTAACGACACGTTGTTCGCGCTTTTTCTTCCTCGTCCCCCGTCCTCCCCCCACCAGTACTTACGACCACGCACTGGCATCTCTCGTCGCGCACCGGAGGTGGCAGCGCGATACAAAGATATACGAAAAGATAACCGTGTAACTTAAGGGAAAAGGAAAAGAAAACGGAAAAAAAAAAGATGAAGAAGTAGACAGGGGAAGAAAGGTACCGACGACAATCTCGCAATCTCGGGTAACATACGTGTTCTCGCGCGCGCGTTTCCCGATCGTGACGAGGTCGTCGCGCGCGAGAAAGGAAGAGAGAGACACACACGTAGACAGACGTGAAGTAATATGGAACAGGTTCAAGTCCCATTGATGATCCCGTAACGCATAGCGCGAACTTCAAGCGCTGGTCGGCATGTTTTTGGAAGATCGAAAGAAAAAGAGTCTTTCTTCGCGAAATTGTCAATTACACCGCGCATGCCCGTTGTATTATGGGTAATGGCGGGAGGATGGCTTTACCTGCTCATATATTACTTTAGACAGACAGACAGGAAGAAAGAAGAAAAGAAAAACCGCGCCGAGGGTCCCGAGAGAAAAATCACGACCGACGACTCGCGTCCGCGTTTCTCTCTCTCTCTCTCTCTCTCTCTCTCTCTCTCTCTCTCTCTCTCTCTCTATCTATCTCTATCTATATATCTATCTATTTATCTATCTATCTATCTATCTATCTATCTATCTATCTATCTATCTATCTATCTATCTATCTATCTATCTATCTATATCTCTCTCTCTCTCTCTCTCTCTCTCTCTCTCTCTCTCTCTCTCTCTCTCTCTC